CTCCCAAACCAGTTGGCTTTAGGGCACCAGATTTTAAACCCTTGTAGGCTTATTCACCCGAGTTATAAATGCTCAATCAGATGACTTTTTGTAATCCTCTTTATCCCTTGCTTTCTATATGACCCATGTATCGAGCTTTGGGCCGATGACTCCCAGATCAGTTGACCTTAGGACACCAGATTTTGAAATATCCTTATAGGCTTACTTGCTCGAGTCATAAAGGCTGGAAAAGAAGTGTCTTATTCTCACAAATTAAGTTTATGCCCTTATTTTTCTAGACATCTGGTATCCAAAACCAACCCTCAATTTAAGCTTTTCACCTACTCTTCATCCCACTAGTCTAGGCAGTCCACACAATAATTCATGCACGGAGCCTCACTCATCTCAATGTTCTCCTATAATAGCTCAACTATCACCAAACTGTCTTAAGGTAGTTTACGAGTTAATTCAATAGAGGGTTATAATTATTTTTCTATTTTATGCTCAAAACCCCAATCACTTACCTAACATGTAAAGCATGAATGGCGTGCATAAAGAATGTCAAGTATTACATCAACAAGTATTAGTTAGCCTAATTAACACCGACTCCAAAGTTTTGAAATATACCAATCCAATAGTAACATCATAGCCGGCAAGGCGATTAGGCTCATACAAGCATACATAAGCATAATCAATATTCACTCACAAGCATGCCTCATGCAACAATTAGTCAAATTAAATCTGGATTGTGGAAATGCAATTAATTACATGCCGAATGTCTTTATCAAATTATGCCACCATCCCCCAAACTTATACAAGACATTGTCCTCAATGCGAAAATTAAGTTTAGATGGCAGAATTTAAGGAAAATGAGTACAAATGAGGCAAACGATACTCCCCTAATCAATACGGGGGTTGCAATGGGAAGCTAGATCCTGTAGTATCATTAGCTGAAGGTGGAGGTAGGCGCGCCAAGATCTCTCTCATCAGTGCTGACTGCTGTGTCATTTCATCATGGATTTCTTCAACATGTGTCTCCAAACGGCCCAAACGCTCCCAAGTTTCATTTACCCTCATCTGGATGCCATCCACCCTGCCACATACACACTGAGTCAATCGTTCATAGTTTCCATCTCCCTCCGAGCTGCCTGGGCATCCTGGCGAGCAGCACGTGACATATCAGTGGAAATGCAGATGTCACGGTGGGCTGTATGCATCTCAGTCGTCAAAGTCCCCATAGCCTGCTGGAGACTCTGTACGTCTCGGCTGGTTCCCGTGGTGGTAGTGAAAATCTGGCACCACAACTGTGCATTTATCTCAACCTGTGGTGGTGGAGCTTGAGGCATCTCCTGCTCTGCGTGCTCGTGACCTTGCTCTTCCTACTGTCTGCGTCGTTCAATTTCTTGCTTTTCCCAGTGCTTCATCCTGGCTCTGTCTTGAGCCTCCAAGGTGCTGTGCTTTATGATGGGGCTGGGTTTGGCAGCCACTTCCCCGGATGCAATGTTTATACCAGCAGCTATGCATATTCCGGAGATGAGGCTTGGAAAGATCATTGAGCTGTGCCTGTCTCCCAATGTACCCACATGATGTATCTGATTATAGCAGAGAGTGGCAAGATCAACCTTATTACCTCGCACCAAGTGATAAAGGAATCTAGCTGTGGGATCTGTGAATGTGGTCCTGTGAGAGGTCGGCTCAATGTTGTGGCACATAAACAGCCACAGGATGGCTATAGATGGTGTCAGCTCAATCTGGTGCCACTCTGTGGTGGGGAGTGGCCATGCATTTTGTCGCCCCAATAAGATTTCCGCCACTTCATGCCAATTGAAATCACCTGGTATAGGGGTTATGTTGTCCCACGTGAGCTGGTAGTAGTCTTGAATAACCTCGGGTGAGAATGTGATCCATTTTTCCCTGAAGTCTAATGTAGAAGGTTGGACCCTGGTGTGTCAATTTCTGTATTGAAGTTGGCGTAAAATTTCCCTACCAATAATTCATAGACCCGATGTGGCTGCTCCACTACTTTACCCCATCCACAGTTATACACCAAAGTGGTCAGCTCGAATTCAGGAAAGTCTTCCAATCTAATAGCCCGCTCTGGTGTCACTGTCCATCGACTCACTATATTTTCGTATCGAACTGCTGCCTCGGAAGTCAAAAATCTCTGTATCCCTTGTTCAAGCACTCGAGTACGTGCTGTGCCGGATGATGAGCCAACCTTCTCTTTTTCTTTTGAAGTTCGTTTTGGTGGCATCCTACAAAGTTGGAAAATAGCTAGCATTAAACGTCTTGTTGTACAGTGAGAAATCGCATGAAATGAAAAGCACGTAATTCACAAATCCCCCAAACTTGTTTCAATATGCATGTATACTACCACGGTGTGTAATGAACAATGTATGATGATTAGAGTAGTATGAATCTATAGTCCATATGAAAACATAAGAAAATTTGGGTGAATATGCTCATAGTGAAAGGGTTGGAGTTATGATTGGGTGTACACCTTCGGCCCCGGGCACCATCGAGAATTATCAAGATTGTCCCAGGCAACCTCCGGGCATATGAAAGTATGCAATGAGATCTATCACATACCCAAATTTTAGCTCAATCGGAGTTCGTTTGGTGTGTCAAATGGTAGTGTAAAATAAGGGACGGAGGGTGCTGTGGGCATGCAATGACTTAGCTATTTTGTGTGCATGTGTGTGTTGATGTTGTCTAAGTCACATTGGTTGGTAATACATCACAACGAGTTATTCCATTCATCTAATAGTCATATGCCATGCTAGATGTTCATAATTGTATTAGATTACCAAAAATGGGCATTTTATCGAACATGTTGTGGGCATTATGAAATCTTCATACATTAGCCAAAAATTACTATGTCACATGGTTCCTCATTCAAAAATCAATCACCAATTGCATATACATTCATCAATCAAATAAATTTAATGCAACATGTGCCAAAATACCCACAAATTATCAGTGTGGCAATGTATCAAACACATTACAAGCATAGAGTGAAAATGGTGCCAATTGAAAGAATTTTTGGTTTAGAATCATTCCAAATTTTCGCACAACACAAGCACAACCAATCCATATGCACATGAACTAGTCCAATCTCCTTCAATTCGCCAAAATTACATTCACAATCAATAGAACTGAAAACGGAATTGAGGGGGGGGGGAGAAGAACACATACCTTGTGTTTGTAGGGTTGAATCGAGGAAGAGAATGGATTTCCTTTCAATGATATTATAATGCAATGATTAAATTTTTGTGTGATATTAGCCTAAAATGTGAAATTGGTGAATGTGGTCGGGAGAGGGATTTGGGAAGAGAGTGAATTTGTGAATTAAGAGTGAATCGGTCATGGCTTTAACCATGGCCGATTCACTTCTATGCAGTCACATAGAAGTATTTTTCTTTTGATTTTTAGGCACCATGACTATGCGATCGCATAGACACACTTTTTTTTTTATAAATCACCCGACTCTCAACGTCCCCAATTTTTCAGAAACATACTTTTAAAATATTGACATGTGAAATTTAGAAAACATAATTTACCTCGAAATACGTGAATTCCACACTCAACTACCCAAACAACTCAAATCAACCCGAACTCGTGTGTGATACTTAAGGACTCGTGTGAACAGTGCTTGGACTCTCTTAAAATGCCTAGATGATCGATGACCACTTAACAAAATACTAAATGAATTTGAAAATAAACTTCCTAATCTAATGCAGAAAGCATAATAAAGTAAATAAATAGATAAAAAGGATACAGTGGGTTGCCTCCCACCCAGCGCTAAGTTATAGTCGATAGCTCGACTTTTCTGCGGCTGCTTCATTCTGGCGTCTCGAGTTGAACGGTTGACTTTTGGTTAGAGAAGTCACCGTCCCAATAGTGTTTCAACCTTTGTCCATTAACAGTGAAGGTACCCTTATTCTCATGGCTCACTTGTATAGCCCCATATGGTAGGACTTTTGTAACTGTGTAGGGACCCGACCACCGTGATCGTAGTTTTCCTGGGAATAGCTTGAGTCTCGAGTTATACAGTAGTACTTTCTGCCCCACTTCGAATACTCGCCTCTGAATGTGCATATCATGGCACTTCTTGGTTCGCTCCTTGTAAAGTTTTGCATTTTCATAAGCCTCCATTCTAAATTCATCCAACTCATTCAGTTGCAGTAGACGCTTTTCACCGGCGGCATTCAAGTCCATATTTAACTGTTTCATAGCCCGATATGCCCGGTGCTCCATTTCTAATGGCAGATGACATCGTTTCCCAAAGACTAGGCGATGTGGAGACATGCCGATCGAGGTCTTGAATGCTGTTCTGTAAGCCCATAATGCATCGTCCAATCGGGGTCTAGATGAATTCACAGTGACTTCTAGTATTCTCTTTAGCTGCCGATTAGATACCTCAACTTACCCGCTGGTTTGTGGATGATATGGAGTAGCAACACGGTGTTTAATGCCATATTTATTCAGCAGCTGCTCAAACTGGTGATTACAGAAATGCTTGCCCCATCGCTGATTATAGCCCGCGGTGTACCATATCGGGTGAAAAATATATTTCTTCAAGAATCCAATTACTGTCTTTGAGTCATTTGTTGGCAATGCAACTGCTTCCACCCATTTTGAGATGTAATCCACTACCACCAAGATATACTGGTTTGAGAACGAAGGGGGGAAAGGTCCCATGAAGTCAATTCCCCAAACATCAAATATCTCCACTTCCAAAATATTGTTTAGTGGCATTTCATTTCTCCTCGAGATATTCCCAGTGCGTTGACATCTGTCACACCTCTTAACAAACTCAAATGTGTCTTTAAACAGTGTAGGCCAGTAGAAACCTGATTGTAGAATCTTTGCAGCTGTTTTTGAAGCTCCAAAGTGTCCTGCATATGCGGATGAGTGATAGTGCTCGAGAATCTCATGTACTTCTTCTTCAGGCATGCACCTCCTCACTATCTGATCAGCTCCTCGTCTATAAAGAATTGGATCCTCCCAGAAATAGTATTTTAACTCGGCGAATTTTTTTTTCTTTGGTGACTGGAGTAGTCGGGCTGTGGAATGGAGCTGGCGAAGTAATTGACAATATCTGCGTACCAAGGTGCTTCATCCACTCTCAACATCTGTTCATCCGGGAAGATCTCATTTATATCCACTAAATCTTCCGTCTCCCCAGGTTCTAGTTTGGATAGGTGATCTGTTACTACGTTCTCGGTGCCCTTCTTGTCGCGTATCTCAATGTCAAATTCTTGCAACAACAGCACCCAACGAATTAATCTCGGCTCTCCATCCTTCTTTGTGAGCAGATATTTCAATGCAGCATGGTCAGTATAGACGATGATTTTAGACCCAACGAGGTATGACCTAAATTTGTCAAATGTAAATACCACAGCCAATAGCTCCTTTTCAGTGGTTGCATAATTTATTTGTGCATCATTTAGAGTTCTGCTTGCATAGTATATCACATAAAAAATCTTGTTCCTCCGTTGTCCCAATAATGCATCTACAGCGTGATCACTTGCATCACACATCAATTCAAAAGGCAATTCCCAGTCTGGTGCTACAATTACTGGTGCTGTCGTAAGCTTTTCCTTTAAAGTGTTGAAGGTTGTGAGACAACCCTCATTGAACTCAAAGGTTGCATCTTTCATTAGCAAATTGCACAAAGGTTTAGTGATCTTCGAGAAATCTTTTATAAACCTCCGGTAGAACCCAGCGTGCCGCAAAAAACTGCGACCTCCTTTAACTGATGTAGGTGGTGGTAATTTCTCAATCACTTGAATTTTTACCTTGTCTACCTCAATTCCTTTTGTCGATATCCTATGCCCAAGTACAATGCCTTCTTGCACAATAAAGTGGCATTTTTCCCAATTTAAAACCAGGTTAGTCTCCTTGCATCTCTGTAAGACCAAATTCAAGTGGTTTAGACATTCATCAAATAAAGATCCAAATACTGAGAAGTCGTCCATGAAAACCTCGATAAACCTTTCAATCATATTAGAGAATATTGCCATCATGCACCTCTGAAATGTGGCTGGAGCGTTGCAAAGACCAAAAGGCATCCTACGATAAGCAAAAGTACTGTAGGGGCAAGTGAAAGTGGTCTTCTCCTGATCCTCTGGTGCGACAGGTATCTGATTATAGCCCGAGTATCCATCAAGAAAGCAGTAGTGTGAATGTCCAGCCAACCTCTCCAACATCTGATCAATGAATGGGAGTGGGAAGTGTTCCTTTCGTGTAGCTGCATTGAGTTTGCGATAGTCAATGCAAACTCTCCAACCCATAACTGTTCTGGTGGGAATTAGTTCATTCTTCTCATTTTTCACTACTGTGATTCTCCCTTTTATCGGTACCACTTGAACAGGGCTGATCCATGCACTATCTGAAATTGGGTTGATAATTCCTGCATCCAATAACTTCAATATCTCTGCCCTGACCACTTCCTTCATGTTTGGGTTCAATCTTCTCTGACTTTCTATGCTAGGCTTGCAATTTTCCTCCATTAAAATTTTATGCATACACAGGGAAGGACTGATTCCTTTAATGTCAGCTATTGTCCAACCAATCGCCGTCTTGTTCTCTCTAAGTACCCTGAGCAGTTTTTCCTCCTCCATCTCACTGACTGTGTTCGAAATGATTACTGGAAGTGTATCTAATTCTCCTAAATAAGCATATCTGAGATGTGGCGGTAGTTGTTTGAGTTCTAAAACTGGCGGCTGCTGAACTGAAGGCAGTGGCTTTGTGTTTCCCATCCCCAGTTCCTCGAAGTGCCTCTTTCGTGTGTATGGCGGGTTGGTCTCCAAAAATCTTGTACATGTTTCAACTTCAAAAGACTCTGACTGGATTGATTGGGATTGTGCAATGCATGCCTCATAGGCATCAGATGGACCGTGTAGTAAGAACGTTTCTTGTACTGCCTTATCAATAATGTCAACTTGATAACAGCTGTCAGATTCTGTTGGTAATTTCATTGCCTTGAATACATTGAATGATAGCTGCTCCTCTCCCAATCTTAAAATCGACTGGCCTCTTTGAACATCAATTAATGCTCTCCTTGTTGCCAGAAATGGTCTGCCAAGTATCAATGGAACGTCCTTGTCCTCTTCCATGTCCAGGATAAGAAAGTCCGCTGGGAATATGAATTTCTCAACCTTGATAAGCACATCTTCAATTATTCCTCTGGGATGTGTTGGTGACCTGTCAGCCAGTTGAAGTGTCACAGTGGTTGCTTCAGCTTCTCCCAATCCTAGTTTCCTGAAAACAGACAAATGCATTAAATTAATACTTGCACCGAGGTCACATAATGCTTTATCAAAATATACTTCACTGATTGTGCAAGGAACAGTAAAACTCCCTGGATCTTTTAGTTTTGGTGGAAGCTTATTTTGAATTCTGGCACTACATTCCTCAGTAAGCATGATTGTCTCATGATCTTCTAGCTTGCGTTTATTTGATATGATATCCTTTAGAAATTTCGCGTAGCTAGGCATCTGGAACAGTGCATCAGCTAGTGGGATGTTGATATGGAGCTTTTTGAAAATTTCTAGAAATTTTTTGTATTGTTGCTCCACTTTTTGCTTCTTCAAGCACTGTGGAAAGGGAATCGGAGGTTCGTAGGAGTTGACTGTGACTTTGGCCTTATCTTGTGATTCTTCTAAATTTTTCTTTGAACTTGATTCCTTTACAACAGTCTCTTCTTCAGCGGAGGAAGATGTTTCTCCAATCACCCCCGGTCTCTTGACATGGATTTCAGGTAATTGCACTCCACTTCGAGTTGTAATGGCCTTGGCTTGCTCTTTAGGATTGATTTCTGTATTACTTGGTAAGTTACCTGGTGTTCTGCTAGTCAATGCGATGGCTAGTTGCCCCATCTGAGTTTCCAAATTTTTGATGGCTGCATTTTGATTTTGAAATGTAGCTTCGGCCTTCTCCATGAATTTTCCTATCATATCTTCCAATTGAGGCCTCTTCTCCTGTTGTTGAAATTGTCCTTGTGGCTTATTCTGATTCTGGTTGCTCCAAGAGAAGTCGGGATGTTTCTTCCAGCTGGGATTGAAAGTCTCGCCATATTGATTATGCTGCTGGCGTTGTCCCCACTGTGCGTAATCTGCTTGCTCAATTCCTTGCATGAGAATAAGGCAATCTGATGTTTTGTGCTCGGCTCCACATTCCTCACAATTGCTCTTCTTAGCTTGTGATGCTTATGATATGCTTTCCACCTTGTGATACAGAGAATCAATTTTTGCAGATATTGTTGAATAAGCGTCCACCTCGTAGACACTTGGAGTTTTCTTTGGAATCGCCCTCTCAGAAGACCACATGGCTGATGTGATAGCCATTCGCTCAAATAATTCCAATGCCCCGTCAACTGTTCTTGTGGATATTGAGCCATCTGATGCTGAATCTACCATGCTCTTATGGTATGGAAGTAATCATGTGTAGAAGAATCGAATCTGGATCTTTTTATTGAACCCATGCTGAGGGCATTTCTGGAGCATGTTTTTAAATCTGTTCCAGGCTTCATCAAATGATTCAGTCTCTCTTTGGTTGAATACTGATATATCATGTCTCAGCTTTGCTATCTTAGCTGGGGAGAAGAACTTTGTGCAGAACTTGTGTGCCAGCTCATTCCATGTAGTGATACTTGCAACCGGGAGTGAATCCAACCATTCAAGTGCTTTGTCTCGTAACGTATGTGGAAAAAGCCTCAACCTAATAGTGTCATCCGAAATCCCTTAGTATCTGAAATGTTGACACATATCCAGAAATCGAGATACGTGTGTGTGTGGGTTCTCCTCAGCCTTGCCATAAAATTGGTGTCCATTTTGAAACAGCTGTATCACATTGATCTTCAACTGAAAATTAGGTTGCCCAAACGGTGGATAAACTATGCTGGACTGGCTTTGAATCACTTGAGGAGTCAAGAAATCTCCCAAAATCTCATTCCCTTCGTCCATTGCCTCTCCTTCGTCAGCATGAATCATGGGATTGTTTAATTCGTTGACCATTTGTACTTGTGCTTCGCGGTGATCTCTTTGTCGTCGATGAAAGGTGCGCTCAATTTCAGGATCAGCTGAAATCAATTCTCCTCCAGGTAATCGTGACATGCAAATTTGAGAATTAAAACCAGTACGAGCACTGAGATTTAAACAATTTAATTAACTAAAACACAAATAGAGGATAATAAACTAAAATAAAAACAAAAATAAAAACAAAATTATGCTAGTAAAATAAATAAAAAATTGAGTTCGAATTAGTGCCTCAAGAAATAAAATTAAACTAAACTCAATCCTCGGCAACGGCACCAAAAACTTGTTCGCGAAATATTTCTTTCGATTTAAATTACCGCAAGTGTACGGGTCGTGACAAGTAATAAAGTGGACTTTAGAAGTCCGAGTATCGTCCCACAGAAAAAAAAGTAGTTCAATTTTATTTATTTTAACCTTAACCGAAACTAATTGATTTAAGATGAATTTTAGAATCAAAAGCCCTAATTTTGGGAGAAATCCCCAAATTGAAAAACCCTAATTACTCAAATTCACTTAACGAATGACTCAATTACGAAATATTATGAAAATGAATGAAATGTATTGTCAATTTATGAAAATCTATGTAAAACGAATGCACTAGGATCACGAATCCCCAAATAATTATTAATTAAACCCTAATTTCACAATTTTTGATAAGCCAATGAGAATTTGACAAATCAATGCTCCTAAATCTATTCAATACTCTCTCTCGAGATATATTGAACCTATTTTCATAAATCACCAGCCTATATTTCTACGACGGATGCAATTATACAAGAATGCATGTAATTTTATTTTGTGAGCAATTAAAGATTTACATAGGGCATAGGGGTATATTTCTATTCCTATGGGACCCTATGATGAATTATATATGTTGAGTTTAATCCAATTTTCTCAAATTCAGAATCAAACCACCAAAATTCACACAAATTAAGTGCACATTAATTGTGGAAATAAATAAAGCAATATAATTCATTCAAATAATCCCATCGAACTATGAATTCAAAGTCATGAAATAAAAGATTTAACAATAATTACATGGTTCATCGATCATCTAGTTGCAAAAATCTAGCCTATCATGATAAAAATAACGAAATCTATTAAGTTTTGAATAAAATACATCACCGGGTTATCAAAATTTGAAGAAATCTTGTAAATCTACGCATCAATCCTTGTTCTTGCCTTCAAATCCTCTCCAAAATGAATGTTGTTGCCTCCCAATTCGTTCGTGCGACTTCTGGATGTTTATTTGCTATTTAAACCCGTCGAAATTAGGTTACCAAAGGAGTTGCAATCATATAAGGAAATTGCAAAAATCGGGCACAGATTATACCTATGCGACCGCATAGGTTTCTACTCTGCGACCGCATAGTAGAGCGAACTTCTAATTTGAGTCATTTTGATCCTCAAGTTTCATTCATTCACTCCTTGACCTCCTCTCTTGTTTCTAGTTGCTCCAATGTTCCATTATAACTTCCAATTGGTGCTTAGCTTGATCAATTGCTTGACGTGTTCATCGGGTCAACTTTCAGATAATTGCAATTTGGTCCCTGAATTTTCATTTTACTCTAATTTGGTCCTTTTTCGGCTCTTTTCTCCTGAATTCCACTATTTCCATAGAATCACCTACATTGCATGAATTCGACAAAATTAAATAACAATTCAATCCTTTTACTTTATTTAAGTCATGTTTGTGATGTAAATAAGTGTGCAAAAACACACTTATCAAAAGCTATGATTCTAGTAGAGATCTGCATCCCATCGTTTCGCACAGTCGCCTACACTGAAGAGAAAAATCAAGCAACTCTTCGCAGGGAACTCGACCTTGTGGAAAAAAAAGAGAAATGGCGCCTAACTCATGAATGTTGTGTGTACAAGCAGCGAAATGCCAGGTACTACAATTAAAAAGTACGAAAACGAGAATTGAAAGTAGGGTCCTTAGTCTTATGAAAGGTATTCCTCGCTATGAGGGAGGCCAGAGACGGATCTCTAAGCCCCAACTGAGAGGGTCCCTACCTGGTGATAAGGATCCTACCAAAGGAAACGTATGAATTGGAAGACCTGGGGCGTAGGCTTCTATCCCACCCTTAGAATGCCAAACACTCGAGGTGGTACTATCAGTGAACAAGGAAAATCTTTAATGGCAAGTAAACACGTTTGTAATGTTGGTTGTATCAATAAAAAAAAAACCCTTATTTTGAAAGTCTTTTAAAGCCCTTCTCTACGCGCAGGCCGATCTAAGGTCTTAAGAATTGCGACACTTTGGACTTGGTCATTGTTGATAATTATTTCACTCATTGGCAGAGGCCTATGAAATATATTCCCACGTTAATATCATAGCCCGGGATTTAGTGGATATCAAAACCTAACAAATCTTAACCTTATTGTCCAATAAGTCTACAAGCAATCAAAATACATAATAATACTTGCATAATCAAGATAGCCAATAAAATTGATTTACAGACTTTACCTCGTGTTTCGGACCCGAAACACATACCATACCTGCTCCATATACATGGCTAAGTTTGAAAAATATCCAAATAGGAGCAAATAATCACAGTGAACATTCAAGAACAAATAATCATGTGATGGTGATATAATATAGGATAACTTACAGATCTTTTCAAAAATATGTTTATACAGGACAACAAATTAACACTAAGTTAATCAATCAAAAGGTCAAAAAATACATGCAACAAATGCATAAATAACCTTATAAAAAGATCTCACCTCACTTATCATATCCTATTCCGTGTTGCTCATACCTCGAAAACACAAATCTCCTCTCATCGCCCACCATGCTCACTAGATTGATCATTCAACTCATGTCTAATTGGAAAGTCACACAGATCCTAAGTCCACAGGATAATTCTCTATCACCACATCACTTCTCTCAACCTACGTAGATAATGGATCTCCACTTAACAGGAGTGAGAGAAGCGCCTCTCTCACACTTCACCTTATCAGAGTCTCTTCAAAGATAAAGGATCTAGACATTTAACCACCCATCCACTCGTCATCCAAATGTCATGCTCCATATCCCTAGTATTTGCCACAATGTACCCCTAGGTATCTATACTCCACCTCACCAAAAAAACGCAACACACTGCTAATGCATCACAACCCACTATGCATGCAAACAATTACACCAAGTAATAATATTGCCTTAAATTCATATCAAATATAGCATATAATCATGCAATAGAATAAAGTAATCACAAACATGCAGAAGGGATGACACAAAGATACAGATGCAATAAGTACATTTACTCTCAATAAACCTCACTAGAGTCATCACTCGAACTTATAGCCACATTTGCCTCACCTCTCATCTTACCATTCTGCTTATCTTTCTTCTTGGGTCAGTCCCTGATAAAGTGTTTCAAATTTACCACAACTATAACACAGTCTACCACTAGACTTGTCTCATCATTTGCCCTTCTTTTTACTACTCTAATCACTCGAGTCACTATTCGAATTACTGCTATCATGAATTCTACCCAAATTCATTTACTTAGATTTCATTCTACTCCTCATCATATGTAACTTACCACTTGTCTTATCTTCTTTTTAAGTCTTAATCTCCATCTCCTTACTCTTAAGAGAATCTATAACAATCTCGGATGTTAATGTATTCTTACCATACTTAATTACATTCTGAACCTCTAAATGAATCAAGCATGGAAGTAAGCAAAATTATTGAGTTATACATTTCAAACACCTTCTCATCACAATTAACGATATCTTGAACAAGTTCATTAAAAATATTCATATTGTCGTGAAGGTCCTTTGAAGAATCCATTTTAAAATTGAAAAAATGTGCAAGTACAGTTTATTAGGAGTGGATTTAAACAAATATGAATCCTCCAACTGTTTGTGCTTCTGTCAAATTTTTAGGAAATTTGCCATACATGGATTTTGAAACTTTTTGTTGAACCAATATCCCATTCATCTTTTGTTACCAAATTGAAAAATTATCTTTCCCATTAAGAAAATAGAACAACCAAAGTGTGCAAAATAGGTTACACAAAGTAATCCTAAGGCTACAATATATACCGTTCTAAACGATTCAGGGTTTTGTAAGATTCACGATCTTAGATCAAGGGAATGTTTAAACGAGTTAGGTTCAGGTGTTTTTAACAGGATGATCAATGCAATACTAAGGTATGTTAAAAAAAAAAATTCAGATTTTCAAGCAATGGAGTCTCACACGGTGACTAAATAATAGTTAGAGCACAAAATCAATTACCAGCTTGAGATCAAATTCAACACTTCAAATATGACAAATCATAATGTCACCCTACATGATGACACGTTAATGCTAAAATTTGAACTGGGATAAGCTAATATACCAGAACGGACAAGTCTAAGTCTGCAAATTACGAAAGATGTGACTTTATCACTTTAGGACCACCACTATTCATCCTAAAGTCTCCAACAACAGCAGCAGCCAAACAACCATGATTGAATCAAGAATAAATATGTCTAGATTTCACTATATAACTTGAAATAGAAAACTAACAACACCAAAATATTA